CCCCCCGTTTCCTTCCTCCCCGTTTTCCCATCCCTCACGCGTGAGCCTGTCTTCCTCCAAGTCTCGTCCCCCCACCTCCCCAACTCCCCAGCTCAATCCTTCTTCTTCATGGCTCGTCCCCTCGACCGGGTGATCACGGTGTTCGGTGACGCGGGAGATCTCTTCCTAGTCTTGGGCGGGCTGTTGGCTCGCTTCTCCGCGAGGAGCTTTCGGCGCTCGGCGGCGAGCTTCTTCTTCTCTGCTGCTTTTCTTCGCTTGGAGCCGGCCATGAGGATGGCTACGATGTCGTCTTGGTTTGGGAGGGGGAAGGGGAGGGAGTAGGGCTTCTGAGGGGTAGTAGTGGTGGTAGAGGTGGTAGGGGTGCTGGTGGTAATGGCGGCGGAAGAGGCGGTGGTGGAAGAGCTGGTGGTGGAAGAGGTGGCGGTGGAAGAGTTGATGGTGGATGAGCAGCAGCGAGACATCTTGGTTGATGGTGGTGGTGCTTTTTTTTCTCTTGCTGGTCAGCAACGTGTTTTGGAGCCGTAAACCCGGAAGGGGTGAGAGCAGGAGGGGGGGGGGGGGGAGGGGGGGGGAGGTACATACGAAGAGATTGTTTAGTTGTAGTAGCCGGTACACAGGGACTGATGGCGCAGAAGAATCTGGACGTTTGTTGCCGTAGCTTGATGTTTCGATGTTGCTTGTCGAGAAGTTGCGAAGCGGTAAATCTGAGGAGAGAAAGGAAAAGGAAATTTGGAAGAAGCAGCGCCAGAGATATAGTTTAGAGATGAGCTAGCTTGCTATTGTGGCTGCACTACAATGGTTGTTGTTGATGTCGGCGCCTTCTGAAAGCTATTGTGCTGTGACAATAGGAGCGCTAAGCGAGTCGACCCCCCTTTTCTTACCTAGCTTATGTAAGTAGGCGAGCAAACGGGATGGGGACTGCCTGATGCGTGCGGTGGGCGAAATCATAAATATAGCGGCTATATGTAACTCTATCATAAGATAATTGTAAGGACCTGGCTGTTTTTAGAGTATTTACTTTATCTGGTTGCTCGCTAGAAGAACCTCGGTGAGAACGGAGACTTGACCAGCTGCTAACGGCAAGCCTGAATATTTCGTCCACCTCTCAGAGTATGTGCCATTTTAGCAACTTCCAAATGCTACTGATGTATGCATACTCCCGCCCAAGATCTAGTGTCAGAGAAGGGGTTCTATTTAAGGTATTATAGTCGATTGAGGGTTTGTGAACGCCGTGTATATACCATCTTACTATCCGATCATAGTTTCTTTGCCTTGATATCAGGCCCATTTATAGACAATCATCGCTTCCCGTGTCTGTTAGGCGAAGTTGCCATTCATTTAAAGCCGCCTGTTTGTTGGTAAAAGAGGTTTCCCGTCTAGCTCTCACGCCCACCTGCGCAATATCATCCACCAAGCCCTCCACCTAACCTTCTGTCGGGGACAAGACCGGATAGATGATTCTGAAAGGCGTCATCAGCTCCAGAGTTGAGCAACTGGTTTGGAATAATATGTTTCCTTGGCTGCATGGTGTTTCCCTTCTAGCGGGTTTGACACCCTTGAGAGAACTGTGAACCTCCCTACTGGCTTCTCATTTCGTAACCTCTAATAAGAATATGAAGGTCCGTAAAATAGGCTGCTGATGTATTCGACCTACCTCTCCATTTATCGCCTAAATTCAAATGAGGGGTACACCGGAGACGGCCCGTTCGATAGTTGTACATGGTGCTTCTAGACTGCTTTGTATCGTTGGATTCGGATATGCTGTAGGTTTCTGACTGTCTGTATCAGGATCGGCGTGGGAAGTATAATTAAGATACAGATATTCTCTGTCCCAGTTTCACATAGATGAAGCCGCAGCACACAGATGGTATGTACCAGGACTCAGAAAGACGATGATGTGATTATTCATCTCGAGCGATCTAATCACATAGAGTGCTCGTTGAGCCGTGACATTGTGATTCGATTACGTAGCTTTTAGATTGTTGTCGAGACAGCAATTCATGGCTAGCAAATAGGCTATATGTTTATGATTTGATTCCTTTCGATTTGAGTCCAGACATCCGCAAGATGACAAGCCCGAGACTCGAAGTCTTAGAAAGCTGCTGTTTTCGAGGAATTTCCAAAGTGATCAAGTAATTCATGACATTCTCACAAAGAGTTCCTAATCTGTTTAATGAATTTAAATAACCGCTTGTTATAGCCCACGGAGGAGATCAGTCGTTGCAATAAAAGGCTTCGCTTCATTATCTACGTATACATAGGACACATCTATCTCGAGCGGTTGAATCCTCCGCCTGTGGCACAAGCGCGTTTGCTCTTGAGCTGAACCGATTATGCTCCTCCCCTACCTGGCACAAACACGTTTGCCTTTGGGTCCATCAATTTGGATCCTCCACCTGGCACGAGAGCATGTGCATGCGGGTTCGTATGACTACAGCCACCCAGTGGTGGACTTTGTCGAGGCGTTGTTGGGCTGAACAATCTACTCGGGACAAGACCTGTCGCTTCCTGGTCAGATCTATCTCGAGCCATATTAGACCTGCCAAAGCCGGTGTATCTGCAGTATTTGGGATCACAGATTTGCGCCGTCTCGGGAAATTGCAGACCTCCCCACTCACGTCTCATATGGTAGCCCATGTGATCGCCTTCTATAAAAGTATTGAAATCTTTGGAGAATTCCTGGTCGATTTTGCAATTACCATGGCCATACCAAGGCTCACCAGCTTTTTTGATCGGGACGGATTTGTCGTATCGGTACTGGGTTGTTCGATGAATAGACATAACTTGGGTTGTTGCTTGTTGCTTTAGGCCTTTCTTGTTGGTATCACAGAGGGTATTTTGTGATGCAAGTTGAATACGTATTCAGTCTGTGTAAGTGTGTTCAGTTGGTTTTGCGTACCTTTAATTGAGTGGAATTGTAGCTAACTATATAGCTACTTGGGATCCAACAGAATAGCAGTCAATTAAGCTGTTAGGTTCACTTGACTGACTTGACTGACTTGACTGACTTGACTGACTTGACTGACTTGACTGACTTGACTGACTTGACTGACTTGACTGACTTGACTAACATGTCTGACATGTTATTCGTTTGACTGATACTCTCGCGTAGCCCTATTGGCTGTTTGAAATTCCAAGCTTCAAAGGTTACCAAAGTTACTTGTTTCAGAACAAACTGAAGTCTCAGTTTCAACATTTCTAGTGCTTGGTCTTCTTTGAGTAGTAGCAGGTATTTTGACATACTGTCGCTGTGCTGGGTATGAAATGTACAGAAAAAGAAAGTGTTACTGTACATAAATTTTCTCTGGGTATATGTAGAGACCAGATTATAGCAGCTTTGTGTTTAAATAGAGCAGCGCATGAAGGCTGAATCAGAAATGAGCTATTGGAGCTTCAATAACATCTTCACTTGGCCGACCTTGGGCTGATTTTACACGTCGCTGCGTCGGCTCCGACGCATACCACATACTTCGGTGGTGGCTATAAAGGCTTTGTTAGTAATGAAGTTTACAATTCGCGTCCCTTTGTTTCTCTGTAATCCATCCTATTTATAAGAGAAGGGCTCAGTCTACAGTACTTCCACTACACCTTCCTAAACACTGCTTTCAGCACTGCTACTACTACTACTACTACTACTACTACTACTACTACTACTACTACTACTACTACTACTACATATGCAATTCAAAGCAGAATGTGGTCTTTGGATGGCTTCGCTTGATAGGGTCAGTTCGTAAAAATAAAAGACGGGCTACATCACCGATCAGGTTTCTGACCCAAGCCTCTGAGCAAGGACTGGCCGAGAAATAAACAACAATTGAACCCATATTGCAAGTTGCGAGACCTTCGCAATTGCCGGGGACCGGTGATAGTGATTATTTCCTAAAGCCACGCGATCCGCCACCAAGTCCTCCACCAAGCTGCCAATCGAAAGCGTTTATCAATTGGATCAACTGCCCATACCTAGACCGTGGGCTCGAGAAAGGGCCTGGTGCTCGATTGAAAAGGTTTCTCGAAATGAGTCCTACCTCCTTCTAATTATAGCCAACTTTTCCCCGGTTGACAGGCCCTGTGAAAGCAGGCCCTTGAACACGCCTTCTTATCGTTTTTGGAAACTGGATACCTCTCCATTGGCTCCCAATCCTGTAGCCCATAGCGTCGCCGCACATGAAGTTGCTGAAGTCGTCTCGGAAAACCTTGTCGGTGTAAGTGTCCTGGCCCCAAATCCTCCCGACCCTGTGATGTGGGTACAAATTCTGTCGGTAATTGTTGCGTGCACCACGGGGAGGATACATGAACTTTGGTGAGTATTTATTATAGGCTTTCGTAATGCTTACGTTTGTTGGTTGGTTACTTGGCCGTACGGGTTTGATAGGCTGAGCTAAGGTGGGTGTAATTTGTTATGGAAGAAAGAAATTTGTCTGGAGATGTGATCGTTACCCGAGTGAATATATAGACTGTCAAGCAGATTGCGTTGCTTATAAACATTATTGAAGTGTTAGATCATTGATTGGCTTTATTCAGCCCTTAATCATCTCTCACTATCACGTTATTATACAATCAAATATTTATAGTTTCAGTAGAGTTATACACAATTACTGTCTAAGAAAATATACCACTTCTGCCAGATTCAATGGGGATGATCAAAATTCATAAAACTTGAGAATTAACATCCAATGAGCCTCACAGGCGATCTGCGGAGTCAGGTACATCCTGTTTGAGCGCCTTTATTTACCCTATCAACTTAGGCGAGCAGGAAGCGCTACAGCCAAAGAGCGGGACGGCTCATTGCATACCACCGAAACAGCGAGTCAGTGATACCACCAAATCAGGAGATCAATGAGACTATTCTTTGTTGAATCTCAAGAAAAGATCAGGCCTTATATTCTAATCAAGCTTTCAATATTCGTAGCCTATGCCCCCTTCAACTGGCATCACCGGTTCCTCCACATTGAGATCATCTATAAGTTCGATCAACATAAATGAAGTCAGGGTGGTGGAGAATGAATGCGATAGGAGGCAGGGCTAATCCAGACCCTGGCGACACGCGTGACCCTTATGATGGAGAACTCAGTACCATCCTGCCTTTCCTGCTACAGCGGCGGCGAGATGAAGCCATTCTGCAGTTCCTAGACGATGTCTTCATTGCCCCATTTTGCAACGGCGTAGTGGAATTCTCCACATCGCGAGCCTTCAAAACCTTCGTCCTTATTGCTGCCATCCTAGCTTCGCCTTCCGGCCATACATTGTCGGCACTGCTAGGTCTTTATTGGAGAGTACTTGGACCGCAGTCTTGAAAGGTCACTCTCACCTATCTTTGCAATTTTGCCGCTGCGACGCCCCTAACGGAAATAGCAAAAACTTGATCGAGGGCTGATGACTAATGTAGATCCTCTGGATGTAATGATGCATTTCGGATTTGCTGTTTTCGTGTTGTACAGCATCCTAAGAGGTATCGGGTCATTTGTAGACCCATGGATAGAGATCATCGCAAAAAACAGGATGCTGAAAAAATCCAGGCGCACGAGTCCGAATTGGCAAGGAAGAAGTTAGAGCGGCAAGAGATATTGGAGGAACTTGCAGCAGAGACAAAGTAAGGTCCTGTTTGACAAAGAAATTTATGTGTAATGGGACCAAGGATGACTTTAATGAAACCGAATTGGAGCTTTGAATACATTGCGATGGAGCTCCAGACAGAATTTTAGCAGTCCCAGGACTCGCTATATGCAGATTTATGGTGACTCGGAGCTATTTTCTGTACCCAGCCCGGGGGTTTAGATTTACAGAGAGACTCACTGTCAAGGCAGACAGTCGATGACAGGTATTTTTTTTGCAGGTGGAATAAGCAATTTAGGCATCGCAGAACTTGAATACAAAACTGTAGGAGAAGATCGATGTATCCATACCTTGTTGCAGGAGATACCTAGCATCGATTGAGCCCAGGCCATAAATCCTTTAGTGACCACCCTCTTTACAATTTGTTGCATATCCGATACATCGCTTTAGGGCAGTCGTCTATGTGCGAAAATTCATTCCTGAAGCAACATGATAGATACAGAAGTATCCATCGGTGATGATCACTGCTGTCAATAACAAGACTCCTTTCGCGAAATATAATGAGGCTCTCATCTAGGAAAGAGGAAGGAATGAATACAGACAGTACCAATATGAGAAGTAGAGGAGACGGGCCTGGAGCAAGGAATCGCAAGTTCTGATACTTATTGATTTTGATCACGTGTATCCAACGCGTATTCTGAAATTCGGACGCGATGGGAAGCCCAATCACCCTGGACATAAAAACCACAACGACAGCACTTCAGAACCCGAATCGCTGCCGCCACATGGGTACATCCGCTGCCATGCTGTGATTCGATGTGCAGACTGGAACTTCTCGGTACTTTCTTATTGCTCAAGCAAGATCTTGTTGAGAGGTTCAAGACCCGTGGAGGAGACGGAGTTCCGTATGCTATCCCAATCGTGGCAGAGCTCAGCCGTTAATTCAGACTAGATACGAACCTCCATCATGCTCCACGAAATACTCCTCTCCCTCTCCGGTCACCCCTCCCCTCTCCTCGCCGCCGATCACTCCTCCCCAACCTCGATACTCTCCCCTCCGGAAAAAGGCCTCCTCTCGTCCATTGCCCACCTGAGCAATTTGCACTGCAAAATTCTGGCCCATACTGCTAATATAGCCACCTCGCATACATCATGTATCTGTCAAGCCGTTGCAACAGCCATCAAATCCACGCATCTCGCCAGATTCCAACGCAAAGTCTTGGAGGTTGAGGATAACATACTAAGGAAAGATGCGGGCATGGTTGGGGCGTACAATATTGTACCATTGACAGCTATAGTAGGCGAGTTCTCGGTTTGGACGAGGAGGATGGAGTGGTTTCTGGAGGTGGCCGAATTCATGATCCGGGGTAGTGGAGGGAGGAGCTGTAGCGGAGCTATGATTATCGATCGACTCTGCGAAGCCTTGAAAACTGGATATATTGACATCGAGGAAGCAGCCTTGAGCTTGGTCAGTGTTGCAGAAACCGCTTGGTTAAAGCAAGTTTCGGCTTGGGTTCTGTATGGACGGCTGCCAAGCTTTGGGATGGAGGACTTTTTTGTTCAAGTAGTCCACGGGGACGTACAGGTATGTCAGGGCGAGGGGTTAGATTCACTTTCTGACACGGAGTAGGAGTACCACAGTCATCCGGATCTTTTGCCTGCTTTTGTCTCGGGATCTACAGCCAGCTCGTTGCTATTTATTGGCCGGTCCCTCAACCATATTCGGGTCAAAGGGGTATCCACTACGAACTCTCCAGAGCTTGAGCTACTTTCGTCACATTTGCAGCAGCTTTCGTCACTGAAATTTCCTATCAACAGTGCAAACTTCTCTCAAGTGATCAATTCGATACGAGTCTCGTTATCACAGACTACTCTCCAAAAGCTATTGCCACTGAGCAAGGTCATTGAGATCCTTACACTGCTTAGGGAATACTTTCTTCTGGGCAGAGGGGAATTTGCCATTGCATTGATCACTGAGGCAGATGATAAGATCCGGTCAAGGTGGCGGAGGTCTGACAATCTGGGTTACGATAAACGAGATGGCCTTGGCAATATTGTTGTGAAAGATGGTGAAGTGTCAGCAGCTCTAGCACGTACCTGGGCAGCCCTAGGATCACTGCAAGGCCAGTATGAAGAAGAGCAGGACGAGGATGAGCTGCTTGAACTAGCTAGAGACTTGGTACAGCTTAACATTACCAAGTCAACGTCCGGAACTCCTTCGAAAGGATCACATCCGGTCTCGATGATTGCGCCAACGCCATTCAGGAACCTCCTGTTTTCTGTACCGGTAATACTGACCCTTGATATACCTTCTCCACTAGATCTATTTCTTACACCGGCGGATGTGCAAAGCTGCTCAAGTATCAATGCGTACCTGTTGTCCATACATCGAGCACATATACGCTTGACAGATTTGTGGAAGATCACATCTCTGCGTCGAGATCATCCAGCTCCACCAGGACCTCCTTACGGAAGTTCAATCGCAGGACGCAACAAAGTCCGGACAATCCGAAGCCGAGGCAAGGAAAGGTCTCAATCAATGCGTAGTGTCTGGTAAGTGCAATTTCTCCGATTATTTATTGCCTGATCTGGGCCATCTCGGCTGTATGCTTTAGCCTAATCCCTGGAACATCTCTAACCTGCTTTGGAAACTCATAAAAGAAGGCACGCTTACTCATAAAATTTAAATCAAAAGGGCAACTAGCAGTGCAGCAGTCTTTTTTCTCGGAGAAACAGAGGCTTATCTACAAGGGGAAGTTGTGCAAGGCACCTGGGAAGGGTTCAAGAAATGGCTGAGCGGCGAGTCACCACGCCCGAACTCTTCCAAGAGCTCAGAAGACGACGAAGAAGATATTTGGCTGCAAGCGGGACGAGAACCAACTCCGCAGCTTAAAAATGGCAATAAATACGACCCGCAAACGCTGGCAGATGCACATAGAAGATACTTGTCTGCCCTAGCCACCAGTCTTCTCTTGACCAACCCATCATTCACCGACCCTCTATATCACCTGCTCCAGCAAATCGACCATCTAGTAGCACTTGTCTACAGAGTCCACTCCATTTGGCAATCCCTCGATTTGGAAGCCGATGAAGGCGTGGTAGATGCCTTTTCCGACTTCCACAAAGAGGAAAAGGATATCAAAGAGCAGCTCGTCACAGTCGCAGCCCGAGTGAAATCCGCCATCGAAAATCTTGTCCAGTGTCTGCGAAATATCGATCAAGAAAAAGAAGGCTGGGAAAATGGCTTTGCTGAATTGGTGCTAGGCGAGGAAGATGCTTATATTCCTGCCAAAGTGGGCAGAGTGGATCGACTCTTAATGAAGCTGGATTTTGGGGGGTGGTTTGATGCAGGGAAGAAGGACATGGGGAATCTGGATGGGCTGGGGACTGACAGCGACTTCGATGTATGAGGCATGAATGATGACGATACCCTGGCGTTCGAGACACTTGGGACGAAGATGGCACTATAAGGCGGCATTGGAATATGTGAGTAGCAAGTACAAGTCAAGGCTGCCGTTTGACGAGTAGAAACCGATAATACATCTCATGCAGCGATCTATCATTCCCCTCATGCTGCCCGGGCTACAACTTATCCCTCCCTTCCATCGTGGAGGAGGCGTTCTAAACACGTGAGGGCTTTCAAGTCACACTGCCCCGGCCAGCTTTCTGATCTTATGAAACCTGGAACATATCCCCCAAGACTGTCTGATATCCTGCGTAAAGCACAACTGCTGCCGCACCTTTTGGCTTTCCCACAATTGTTCATCTTGGTTGCGCTCACACGGCATTGGTCGGACAGAATACTGGCTTGTAAGATAGTTTGCCGTAACCTCAGCCTTTTCTAGGAGGATATTCGACAGCTCCAACTTGGGATGTTGATGATATAAGAATAATCTTGTATCTGAATTCGCTTCGGCCCCAAGCGGAACCACACGCGCCAAGACCTTCCGCCGAGCATATAACCGACTGCCTTTCCACTTGCTTAGATAAGCCATTCGTATCACCCCCTTTGTTTACTTCTACATTCAAGAGACAACATCTGATTCGCCGAGTTTCCGAGTCGCCACATTCTGATCCCACGTCTCCTCTCTGATCCCATCCCCCTGTACATACATTCTCAACCTCGGCATCTCGGAATCTCAACATCCTCGAGCCTCGAGCACAGCAACCACGCCAAATCAGTTTATCAGCAACATTTCTATCACTTCAGCAATGCCTTCGATACTCGCCAAAGCTCTGCTCTATCTCGCAGCAGCTGCCAGCTCTGGAACTGCCCTTGGGCATACGAAGATGGGCTACGACGTTGTCTTTCCCGCGATGAAGAAGCTTGGCGTGAAGGATAAAGGGGCCATCTCTGCGAAGATTGGATGGATGGAGGTGAACCAGGGCTTCGTACTCCTCGGTAAGTTGTCATCTGCTCCCACAATACCTGTCTGTCCCAACCAAGTTCGCGGATTTCAAGAAATAACCCAACACGTGACCCACCGCTGATCTGTCTTCCCAGCCATCTTCGCCGTCAAATGGGCGCAATTTGGCATGGTTGATGTCTATGATAAAGCTTTTGCTGGGCTCTACTGCGTTTCGCAGCTATACTTTGGGTATTGCTATTTGAAAGCTGGAATTACGGAGCCGGTCATCCCTCTTTGGGGTATTCCAACGCTGGTGGGATTGAGCCAGTTGGTGTAGTCGTACGAGCACGTTGGCGTGCTATCGTATGTATTATATGCGCGCCAAACGCCCAAGATTTTGATGGCTTCTTTGTTTGTGCCGCTTCTCGCACTGACTCTGTCTTTCTCATCGAACTTCTCCCGTCCTGTACTGGTTTATAAACGTTGCTATTCTCCTTGTCTGCAAGCCACAAACACGAAGAAACGGCTTGGAAATCAGTTCCAAATAATGGTTAGAAATTTTGGAGCATGGCCACAAACAAACCGATCTTCTGTGGAGTTCATTGTGGCCGATTGGCCCGATTTCGAGCAGACCAGCACTCCGGTATATCACAATCCCAACCACGTATACGAAGGTACTGTCAACCTTCAGTTTCTCCTCTATGATAGGATTTATGTTAGCAGATTTACATTTCTTGCGGGCATTTATGCTGCTTTGTCTCGAAAGTTCCATCCTCTTCTGCGTTTGAAGAAGTCTCGGGTATGCATCTGCAAGGTTCTAGATTTATGGCCGTCATCTTTCTCAAAGTTTGCAGTACCTCCGGCTGCTTAAATTCATGTTGATACTCGTATTGGTAGCGGAACCCCAACTCTCGCAACTCACCAATTGCTCTCTCGCATGCTGAGATGTACTCCAAGGATCCACCCCTTCAGCACCAACTATCAACTACCAAGGCTCTGAAAGCCAAGGCCATGGCAATTACGAAGCTGTAAATGTCCTACTTCAGTCACGTAACTCTTTCCCAGCACTTGCTGATCCCCGTCTAGTCAGCCATGTAGCAACTGCGACGGCCACCATCCAGCCTCCTCTTTCGTCTCTACGCAGTGCAAACAGTGCCGCGTCGCACAAGCCAAGAATTTACCACCCGAAAAGAACAAGGAAATCACGAAATCAGAGGTTGATGCTGCTCTTACACTATTCAGCCGGCAGCCAGAGGAGTGGGAGAAGGGGCGGGAGTTTCGGTTTTCGAATGGGGCTGTTTCGAAGATTTCGTACCAATGAAGCTGAATCTGGGATGCCGGTGGGATGTAAGCTACTCGTCACAATGAATAGGCTCTGAATTCTAGATATCTGTGAGAGCAGACGTTAAAATGGCGGAGAAGTTTGATCAGGTGACAGTAGCTAGGTACAAATGCGCTGGATGTTTTCCAAATACACAAGCGTGTGACGATAGGATTTGGCAAGCATTCTTTAATATCGCAAGCCCGTACATGTTTTCGTCCTCGTCTTTTATCATTTATTCAGCTCACTTCTAGCCCAGGCTTGCTCGTAGCAAGCATCCTTTCAATATACCACAGCCCCTAACACCCCGCTATCTGTGGTGCTCAACAAACAACCCTCTTGAAAAAAAGCGACCCAGGATGCCGAAAAGCAGTCCTCTGACCAACCTCGCGGCAATGTTGATCGGGCAAGAAGAAGAAAAGCAATGATGAGCCTCCAGCGGGCGTACGGCTTCGGGACTCAATACCCAAAGGGTGAGTAAAGTACTATCTCTGGTGTACTCCCAGATCTTCTTTTATATCAGCACAGCACAGAATTCGCTGGGTGCAAGCATAGTTTTCCAGCAGAATTTTACGTCTCCAAGAGATTTACAGAATGTCGCGTCAAGCAGGCGAGTAAACTTGAGGTTCTACACCGGCGGTATAACGAGCTGCTCAGTAAGTCGACTAAGATGAATGTCTGATAATTCATGTTGTTTCGAGGATAAGTTTTGATGAAGAGGGTGGATTTGGGTACTTGTAAGTCCTTATGGATAGATACTAGGGGTTTAGCGAATTCAGATGTCTCATATAAGACGTATCTTTGGTGCTCTTAAAGCAACATCTCACGTCGAATTCTTCAAGTTCTCTCATCTCACACTTCTTCGAAGAGCAGAGTCACTGGCAAGGCAAAGCACTTTCAAGCCACTCTCGGAGCTCACACAATTCATTCCGCAAGTCAGTCATCCGACAAGTCAGCCAATCTCAAATCCAGTCCAAAGCCAAACACACCAATCCACCCACCGACCGCTCAAATCCCCGTCTCATCATACTCCCACTCCATCGCATCCCTCGTCACCTCCCTCAGCCCACTCCTCTTATACACCCGATTCAGCCTATACCCCTTCTTCCCATTACTAAGCCTCCTCTCCTTCAACCTCCGCTCCCGCATCCGCAACACCTTCTTCACCGGCCCCTCAATGCTCAGCAGGCCTCTCGTCCGCCGATTCAACATCCGAAGCTGGCTCACCGGCCGCAGCTCCTCCCCCGCGTCCAGCGCAATCAGCTCCTCCTGCCTGCGCTCCCAGGCCCGCTCCCGCATCCTCTCCACACTCGCCTGCGCCGCCTTCATGTGGTGATTACTCACCCGAGGTTGCCAGTCCGCGGCTGTCCTGCGCTCGCCCTCGAAGCCCGGCCCGACGTACTCGGCGATCGCGGGGTAGTCGGCGCCGTCCTGGGGCTCGTCCATGGCCTCCTCGCGCTCGGAGTCGAGTAACATGGCGCCGGCCTCGGCCTGGTATTGGGTGGGGAGAGGTGGGAGAGAGCTGCCGTTGCGGAGAGGGAAGATGGAGACGGGGTCTGGGATGGCGAAGCGAGCGGCGTTGCGAGGGGTGGCTGGTTCTTGTTCTGGTGCTGGTACTGGTACTGATACTGCTGCTGCGGCAGGAACGAGTTCTTCTTGCTGTTGCGGTTGCTGCTGCTGCTGCTGTTGTTGCTGTTGCTGATGTTGTTGATGATGTTGCTGCTGTTGTTGTTGTTGCTGCTGCTGCTGCTGCTGAGCTTGCACTGGTTGTGCGCGGGCGCGAACAGTACGCTTCTTTCGAAGCGGTCGATCTGCCACGCCCGGCAACAACCGTCCCTCCATCGACCTCGTCTTGCGGACGCTCATCATCCGGGTCACAGCCCGAGGTTCCGGCAGCGATCTTCGTGCCATCTTGTAGATGGACGAGAGAGAAAGGAAGAGAGAGAGAGAGAAGAGAGGATGGGGTTTATATGTGCGAGATTTTCAACTAGCGAGAGGCTTCTCGCAGCACAATACTTACGATCACAATACCTACGATCACAATACTTGCGGTCCCAGCAGAGCTTTTCCTATTGTGAAGGTGTCGTTGCCGAATTAGGCGGGCCGATCCCTCTTTCTTTCCTATTGTCAGCGAAGAAAAGTCATTTTGTGTTCCGAGGCAGGAATATTCACCATTGCAAGCACACTTTGATATTGGCGTCACTTACTGCTACTCGTGATCTGGACAATGGTTTTCTTGATTTTCAATCATTTAATATTGTGCTTCATTTCTTGAAAGTCAGGACAGCGTCCAAACATTGGGCTTGGAAGGTGAACTGCGCGACGGCACTAGCAGACGAGAGATTTCGCTTCAGCTAATCGCAAAGCTTCATGTATTTACGATTATGCGAAATGATTTTGTTATTCAATAAGTGATATTGGACCTCGAGTGTTCAAGCTGAATGCCAATCAAGGATTCCTTCCCGTTTAGAATATTGAGGTACCGCAGCTATCGGTTTCACCCGTCTAGGAGGAGGACGTTCGTTATAGCATTTATACCATCCTTACTTGTCAAAACATCAGTTTCAGAATTTAAAGGTGAAGTCCTCGCCTGGAGCACAGATATAAAATTTGGAACGGACTGCTGCCCGTGTATACGTTTTCTCTCAAACCAAAACACCTGGTGCTCAATTGATTATTGCGAAATATTCCTTCTACATTACCACTTATATATATCCGAGAGCTTGTTCACATGAAAAATCAGTAGCCCAATTTTTACTTTGTGAAAGGAATATTTCGTTACGCGGTATTCTGGTGCAGGCAGATCCACGCGGTCGATTCACCTTTGAGAAATGCGAATGCTGTTGTTGCGTGAATTAAGCGAGCCCCTTCCCGCTGGACAACGAGAAGGCGCTAAGCCAAAACAAGACCATCAACACCAAAAACATTTCACAATGCCAACCAACTAAACTCATTACGGCAACGCAATTCTAAGACCCCAATTCTTATCGCGCGCAGAGTTTCGCTTTTTTTTTCTTTCTTTCTTCCTGCTGGTCAAATGTCGCACTTGTGAAATCTTCCTAGCGAAAAACATCGAACCAATACGGATACATGTATCAACCACCACCGCCGCGGCAAACTTCAAGGAGATGAATGCCGCCTTGGACCAGATTCCAGGTGCATACCCAGCGCGGGAATATGTACCGGGGCCATGGTGCGATAGCGATATCCGGAGAAGGGCTTTTGCTCGCTCGTACGCACCAATGCGTCGGTAATACCACCACCACCACCACCACCACCACCCGGGAGCAAAGCATTTAGCACTCTCAATCTTGATGTCGACCTCAACTTTAACTCCAACTCCAAACTCCAACTCCAATTTCAACTACAACTTCAATCGCCATAGCCCCAACACCCCCAACTCCCACTTCCACCCCTAAACCGCCGCGCTCTCTAGGGGTTTTCGTGTCTGAGTTTGATTTCGTGAGAATGGATTATGAATTAGAGAGATAGAGGTGGGGGGGGGGGGGGGAGAGGCAGCGCGAAAGCGATTATGGCTTAGAACTCTAGTTTCCTTTTTCCAGCTGACATTGGCTTGGATTTATTCACGGAATATATCAAATCAAAAAGCGTTCGTCAAGACCGGACTCGTTTGACCTAGCCAGCCAGATCGACGCATCGAAAAATCTTTTCTTATGAAAGATTGAGAGAGTCATAATCGTCGGTTACCTTGAATTTAACTCGAAAGAATTGACCGACCTGCTATATAGCAAGTCGGCACCACCAAGGCGGGACAGTAGAATTTGCCCTTTTATAATGAATAAAAGATCAATCAACTATTATCTCGTAGTTATTTCTGTGTACAAAGATGTACTGTATTGATTTTAATATTAATCAATGAGTGAAATTTAAATTATAAGTTCTTATTCTCTTATTGTGTTAAATTGAAGTAGTGAAAATGATACTTTTAACATGTACCTTTCGACCTTACTAGTGCGTATATATCAGAATTGCTGTTTAAATACTAGAATAAGCGAGGAACATGAAAATCGGACTTTTATTCAAACCCATCAAAAGAATACGTGCATTATTATCAAATTTTATTTAATAATTATCACCTTTAGTAACATAAAGAATCAGATGATTCTTTTTTTCGTTCTATAAGAAATTTTTTAATCAGGGTTGTAGTTATCAAGATATTCGAAGCAGACAAGTAAAATTAAATTATAAAAGACATTTTTTAGCTATGTTTTTATTACATTTTAATGTATTAAACCACTATAAATGAATGCATCTTTATATTCTCAATTCACGTCTGTGAAGCAGAGTTCTCCAAGCTAATGAATTTTTTTTTTTTTCCTTATTTATATAAGTAATTGTTGTTTAATAGGTGGTATACCGTTACTGTCCCGCTTTGGTGGTGCCGACCTGGGATTTTTCACAAGTTAAATTCATGGCAACCGACGATTAACGCAAACCAGAAAAACCAAGATTGGATTTTTTTTCTTTTCTTAAAAAAAAATTGGGATTTAGATTTAAATAAATTTATATAAGATAAATTCGAGTGCAAGATCTACCTACAGCCAGCACTCGCGTTATAGATAGATGAGTAAGATGCTCCGAGTAATCTCACGACATCTCTTCTTCCCTTTCGCTTTCCTCTGGCCCATGCATGGCGCTAGCCGCTCTCCGGGGGTACTTTCCGTGTCGTTAAATAGCTACTTCGTATTTACGATTGGTGAATCTTTGCCGTTCCGCGATCTTTTTGAATTTTTTGAAGAGAAGAGAAGAGGGAGGAGAGAGATGCTTCTGGTCTCTCACCTCCTTTTTCCTGCTTGTTAATTGCGGATATCATACCTAGCCTGCTAGCTTCGCGCTAGCTCTATAGAACAGAGAGATGTACTAATACTACGTCCCAGGCGTAAGTATTACCCCTCGAGGGGAGGGTAAGCAGGGGGTTTGAAGTGGAAACTAAACCTTTGAGGCACCCTCGAGGGGTAATACTTACGTAGGCCTGCACCGTGGGTACTTAGCGGTGCAATTTAACAAGACAAGGGTGAGAGAGACTCCGTAAGCGAGCTTGAATACGGTACTTGCGGAGTAGAGCGTGTTTAGCTGACCGTTGCAACGTTTCAAGGCCTGTTTAGCTCGCAGCTGCAACTAGTACATCGGATAGCGATTCGCAATTCAGGATGGAAAGAACGAAAGAAAGAAAAAAACGATTTTTTTATTTGAAGCGTCATCACTTACTACTGCTCATTGATTACTCAATGTGATAAAACTCGATAGGTTCAGTACGGAACACCATCATGTCGATGTTCCTTTTAGACTCAAGCTTTCGCGTCACGGAGCACTAGCCGGCCCTTCTTGCGATTTTTCCTCCTTGAAGTCAAAGCTTGCTCCAAAAGACTATTAGAGAAGCTACCTATCGCATAAGAGAAAAAGCGCGCTGCTGCTGCTGCTGCTGCTGCTGATGATACCTCGGCAACCTTCCACCCTCTCAGCCTCAGCCTATCATCTCCGAAGCGTGCGAAAGTGTCTTTGCGAAGTTACTACTATTTTTATAATGCATCTTGAGGTGTAAGGTCAGATGCACACCTTGCAAGATCGACTTACGCGCACGAGCCAGAGAAACAGATTAGATCAAAGTATGTTATCGTGACGTTGCAACTTGGAGATGCAAGATTGTTGTTACTACGTCGCAGGCGTAAGTATTACCCCTCGAGGGTAGGGAAAACAGGGGGTTTAAAGTGGAAACTAAACTTTTAAGGCACCCTCGAGGGGTAATACTTAGGCCTGTACCGTAGTATTTTAGTGGTGCAACTTGGCTTGCATCTGCGAGACGAACAAGCTCTAAGAGTTATTACCTATTTGACGGAGGGACATCATGCGCCGCAGCGGAAGGGAATTAAAAGGAAAAGCGCATCAACCCTGATTTCTTGTTCCAAGAGTTAGAATCCAGGAATTTGGAGAAAAAAAAAAAAAAAAGAAAGAGAGGAGGAGAGAGAGAGAGAGAGAGAGAAGAAAAACATGGCGCAGTGTCAGCAGTGGCTGGATTGAGGTCAATTCAAAGAGGAAATCGATCAGCGGCGGGAAAGGACAAAGGGGCCGAAGATGTGCCCGATGTGCGTGTCGTGCTGCGTGCAGATCTTGGGGGTTCTTGGTAGCCGCTCGCTTCGTTGAGCCGAGACCGGACTCCTTCCTCCTCCGTACGTACAGCAGCTCGAGTACCGTATCTGGCTGGAACTTGGAAGGGGGCGAAAACGTCTCTGGCGGCTACCGGTAGCTGTGCCCGACTGACGAGGTTGGGGGGATGGAGATGGAGTTTAGAGTTGTGGTCAATAGATTAACTCAGTCTTCGGATCTAGATGCCGGCTTGGAATGCCGGATGGATTAGCCGGCCTGAGCCGGCTCTAATCACCTACAGAGTACAGGACAATTACTATCCGAGCGGCCTCCCTCCACGCCGAGGCCGAGGCCGAGGCCGAGATGGATGAATTGGGATGGGATGGGATGGGATGGGATGGGGGGGGGGGATAAGATGATTCGGCTTCCGAAGCAGCGAGGAGGAGGTGCGAGTCATGCGGGTACAGGGAAACGGAAGAGGACTGGATTTATTCGAGCAAGACTGTACGGAATGAAGGTCTTGATGGTACAGAGAGATATAAGGGAGGTACCTCGGTATCGGTAGGTATAAGGTAGGTACTTGTACCAAGTACTACGTACTAGTACTGTATTAAAGCGAGGCAGCAGCACCGATGCGTCCGAGTTTATATAAACAAGAGTGTCATGTGATGGAAATGATTAGAACCCTGCACCTGCACCTGCACCAAAGTATATAGACGGCGAACTCTATCTCTACCTACATCATATCACATCAAATCGCCTCAAGAGCAGTCTCGGATCTGAATTGCCGGTGCTCTGCTCTGCTCTGCTCTGCTCTGCTCTGCTCTGCTCTGCTCTGCTCTCTGCTCTGCTCTCTGATCCACTGTTAAGTTCCTACTTCGTACTTTTCTGCATCCATTTCCTATCTGTTGCTATCCTATCCCGTGTCCATCGCTATCCATGTCCTATCACCGAACCTGCACAGCAGCATCATCATCCCGAACCTCACGCGCTTTCTCTCGTCCCATCTGTAGCCGCTCCTCCTCCACTTTTTCCACCTCGCCCTCCACCTCCACCTCAACCTCTATCTCCACCTCCACCTCCGCCTCCACCTCCGCCTCTCCCTCTTCCTGCCCTTCCACGTTGCCATCTTCTGACAACGCGATTACTTTCCTTTCAACCTGCAGTCCATCTCTTCCCTCTTCTATCCCATCCCATCCCATCCCATCTCATCCCATCCCATCCCAACCTACCCCATCCAATTCTATACGACCACCCCTCCCTCCTCGGCTTGTGCCTCCGGGCCATCAACTAACCGCACACCCAACTGCGACCCGCCGTGTCGCCGACGAAAGCCCCCCCCCCATCCAGGACTGGCCCGACCCATTGGATGAACAGCACCTTTTTCTTCGGCGACGCACATTGCGACTCCCGGCGTGGTACAGGGCAAGGCAGATCAGGGCAGATCAAGGCAGAGCAGATCAGGGCAGAGCAGATCAGGGCAGAGCCGAGCCGAGCAAACACTTCCATCACCCAACCGACCGACTGACTGACTGACCGACCGACCGACCTGAGCTTCCTCAGACCGCGCTCTGCTCTTAGACTACTACCTATACTACTACTACTATTACTACTACCCGGGGCAACGACACACACCTACACCACCTACCACTCACTACCGACAAAGCTGCAGCAACCCGTCTCCCCTCTGCCGCCGTCTTTGATGAGCCTCATCCCCCAACAGAGCAATCAAGCAAGCAAGCAAGCAAGCAAGCAAGCAAGCAATCCCCCATCTCCCCACCACCACCACCACCACCACCACCACCACAAGAACATCCCCAATCCCGGGCCTCAAAAGGCCCCCAACCGCCACCATTCCCTCCCCGCACTCTCTCGCCGCGATCCTGTCGCCGCCCTCTGCACCTCCGGAAGACTCCATTCCCGCTGTTTCGCGCGCGTTGTCGCCCAAGCGCTCGCACGCGGAGGCCTTCGCGAATAATTCGGATCACCAGCCCTATCTACACCTTGAGTCGCCCCCCCAGCAGAGACTCAGTATTGCGTCGACGCGGGAGCCGAGCCCGGGCATACACGGGGCGGATGATGGGGGCGGAGGGCCCATGAGAGGAGGGCTGGACGATAAGAAAGCCCAGAAGATGGTGCGCAGCTCCATTGCGTGCACTCGCTGCAGGAGAAGTAAAGTCAAATGTAAGTTGCGCGCGCGCATTCTCGGACATGCATGGAGGCTGGGACAACGAGAGAGCATGGTGAAATTGGATGCCAGTACTGGAAGTTGAAGGATTTCTCCCGGCATTCGTGGGGCTTGGTTGCTGGGATCCAAAACAAACCGATTTCTCGCCCAATCTATCACCAGATCTGCTAACAGCAATTCAGGTGTCAACAACGGCATCCAGTCTATTTGTAAAGCCTGTGCCCAGAGCAATCGCGAATGCACATATCCAGTGGCAGGTTCGACGCCCGCCCCGAGACGAACCGAGTTGCCATCGGGAATCAAACAGGAAGAGGGGATGGGCGAAGGCAAGAAGCGAGTCCGGAAGGCGGAGGATAGCGGCCGGAGGAATAGCCACAGGCCACTCGAGGATGTGTTGGAATCGCCAATCCTGACGAGAAAGGTGTGGGATGAGCTGTACGAGTTGTTCAAGTTGCACTTCTCGACCGAGATGCCCTTCCTCCACCCGCCCACTTTTCGGAACCGGATGCGCCAGGCAGCTTACCCCCGAGACCCTTCAACCTCAGCCGCCGATATCGAGGAGAGCAGGGTTTTGCTGCTTGGTGTCTTGACCCTGACTGCTCGCTTCCACCCAGGTCTGGTCGCCCATCACTCGCCCAACAAGGATGATCCGCTGGCAGCGAGCGAATACTACGCCGGGCCACTGGCGGCGGCCTTTGGCCCAACCATCCGCAACTTGACTGCGCCCTCACTCGGGAATATCCAAGCCTTGCTGATGCTTGGTTTGTACGAGTGGGGTCAGACAAGAGGTCTTAGTGCTTGGCTGTATCTGGGACTGGCAATCCGGCTTGCCTTTCCTATGGGACTTGCCTACGAGGATGACCCTGATTCGCATACATTCGCGCTCGCCACCAGCCCCGACGCCCGTGGCGGGCAACCTTCCAAGCAGATACAATCACCTCGCGAGGACGCTATTGAGAAGGAGGTCCGAAGGCGGACCGTTTGGAGTTGCTTCATCATGGATCGCATGCTGGCGGCGGGTAAGTACAGACCAACGATGATGAGTGTCGACAAACTTCGAGTCCAGCTCCCATGCTCAGATGACCAATTCTTGTTTGTCCGGGATGTGCAAACTGGCTTCTTGAACTCGGAGTGGATGGATACCCCGTCTACCACCTATCCCGAACCTACGTCTGCCCATGATGACGGGGTCCTGAGTCGATACATCCGGTTGGTTGACATTTTTGGGAGGTTATCCGAATGGAGCTATGCTGGCGGCAGGAGAACCGAGCGGCTTCCTCCATGGGACGAACGGACTCAATTCTGTCAGTTGCGCCAGCAGTTGAAGCGATTCCACGACGCCTTACCATCCAATCTGACGTACACCGAAGCAAACCTCTCTGCTCACATCGAAAAGCGCAACGCTACGACCTACGCCTCTCTGCACATCCTCTACTCTCTATGCCTGATCATGCTACACCGGGAGTTTATTCCTTTCATCCCGATTCGATGCGAGAAGCCGGTTGGACCCCTGGACGAGCCGACATTCCCCGAAGATAGCTTCCCTCCCCCTCCAGGATTTTGGGAAGAGAGTGCCGAGGGAATCATGAAAGCATCCAGGGACATCATCGACATTGTCGGTACTTGCCAGGAGGACAGTGCACTACCGGAATCTCCACTGATCGGCTTCTCCATCTACCAGGCGGCATTCGTCTGTCTCTACGCTGCCAATTTCCCACAGATGGATCTAGAGCGCCATCTGGTCAATGATCCCGCTCGCAGTCTCCATGCTGTGGACAACGACACGGGATTCCCGGGCATGACCAAGAAGATGCTCAATGAGATGGCTCCCCGGCTCAAGATGGTCAAGACCTACCTCAAGACCATCGTCAGGATGCGCAACTACTTCCGAGGTGTCTGGAGCGAGTACTATGGTCGATACAAGCGCAAGCCTCAGTTCGAAGGCGGTGGTCTCGAGCAGTACAAGAAGTATGAGCGAGATTTGAAGGAATTTGGGGAGCTGAAAGACCCAGACCAGAACCTGGGATCGGATGGATCCGACACGGTTGACCAGACTCGGTCCCGAGCCAGCACCAACGATATCCCCGGATCCAGCGTCAATGGCGAGCCCATGCAAGGTGTCGAAGCACCCCTTCAACCACGAGCCAATGGGGCGTCGAGCTGGGCACCCATCAATGCCGCCAGCCCTCCAGTCGAGGTCGACGACCGAGCTCGGTACGCCCATGGCCCGTACCCCTACGGCATGCCACCGTACCAAAACTCTCCTAACCAATCCTCTAGCGCACCTTCTATCATCAGTCCCAGCAACGGTGAATCGACACCGGGCGGTATCAACTCCCCCTACGCCAATAACCACCAATACCAGAATGCAAGCCAACCCCAACACATCGCTGTCTACCCGTCCGTAGCCCAGCATACGATGGCGCCGCCGGTTCATCCTAACCCGATGCAGTTTGCCACGGAGGAGATGTACGAGAAGTGGATTGGCGAACAGGAGGCTATCCGCATGAACACAGGCTTTGACAATTTTGCGCAGGAAGATCCGAGTGGTTCGTGGGTGCTGACTGACCCGAGAGCCCACCCGAATTATTTGCAGGCGGCTTGGCATGGTTTGCAAGCTGCTGGGACGTGGCCGTAGGACCTGTTATTGACGGGTTTTTTTTTTTTTTTTTTGGCGCCGGGGGAGTTTTCTTTTGGACGGACAAAATGGGAACAATGGATTCGATGGGACTTGGACTAAGATCATTTTTAGTGTGCACGGGTCGCGATGGGACGGAGCAAACGGCGTTATTTGAATGGGCTGTCAACAGTACACGGGCAAACGGGGTGAGATGGCTGGTAAATCAGCATGGGTCGATACGGCGAATGGGATCGGATTCTAGGTCAGGCCAGTCTGCGACGGATGATGGGGCTTCGTATGCGGAAAATCTCACCGAGGCATATTTGCTGCATTTGTTTTTGCAGGGAGGCTCGGTGATACTACACAGTAAAAGTACAGCAAGGTACATACAGCATAGTACGTACAGTAAGAGCACAGAGGTTATACATGATACCTGTACGTTGCAGACTCGCTTCCGAGGCCTAATCCGTAATTCCATTCCATTTCTTCTCTTCTTCTTCGCCGCAGAGTATATATATGCTGATGATATATAAAGCGCCTGCCCCTCGCATAGGTACGGTACATCTCCACCCCGCCGCCGCCGCCCACAGCGCCGCCCCTTCTCTTCTGGCGTGATACCCATGAACCTATGAATGCCGTCCCGTATTCACGTTTCCTTCCTGAATGATATTATACCATACCATGCCATGCCATGCCATGCCATACCGTTCAATCCCAATGCCCCTGATGCCCCTGCCATAACCCCCAAGGAAAGATTACTCACGTCTATCCCTTGCGCCAACGTGCAAAACTGATCGAAACTTGGCCGTGATGTAAAATTCGCATCGAGGATGCATAATCGGCGCCTACCCATCCGTCAACCTCGCCTCGCCTCGTCTCGCCTCGCTTAAACATAACAACCCCTCCTT